AACCTTATGGAACACACAGATACACTCTGAGGGCAGATTGCACAATTTTACTATGTTAAATCAGCGCTAGATATAGGAACCACTGGGCTGTAATAGCGCGTATAACAAGTTAGGAGCCGATCACAGTGGCCGCGCCTTCTGAGGCATGAAACGTCTTGGCCCGATCGAACATTGGGATCGGGGGGTTCGAATCCCACCAAAGTCATGGATGTTTGTCTACGTTTATTCCATGTTTATGTTGTCCTGTGTAGGTAGCAACCTTGCGTCTGGCTGATCCACCGTCCAAGGAGTCCTACGGACTGTTAAGATTAAGAAACTGAAGAGAAACGCAATGTTTCGCGGAAACCTTGTGCCCCGCGTGAGAACAACAGCAACGAAGATAGATAGATAGGTAGACAGATAGATAGATAGATAAGTTAGGAAATGTGTGCATAGCATAGCAGTTCTGGCGCGTACGCCGCTATTGGTCAGTATCCACAGGTATACACGTAACTTAATTTAATAACTCACTCCATTTGTCGCAGTGCCTGTTGAGAAGCCAATTCAATTTTAATGTTAGTTAATTAACGCAAATTAAATTATTGATCATTGGAGCTCATGACTTTGTCATAGGTCAGACGGTTATTCGCCCGTTTCTCACGGTTTCAGCCTGGGTTCACTCCCAGGTCAGATCATGTGCGATTTGCGGTACACACATGGTCACTATGGCGGAATTTCTCCGAGCACATCCATTTCCCCTACCGGTTTTCATTCCAACAACTGCTTCACATTCATTAATCACGTTATATAGTGTCGTTATTGACAGCGTCGTTAAATAAGCAACTTAAAGAAAGACGAAGGCAGTAGTTTTTCTCCGAAACGCTTGTAACCTACACGGCGTCATATCCCAGAAGACCGTGACAGAAATTACAATGTACAGGAAGGTTACAACGAAAAGAAATTTCCTAATTGAAGTATAGAGTCTGGACCGATGAATCGGGGTTCGATTCTCGGAGCAGGTAGAAGATTCTCCTCTTCTGCACAGCGTTCAGGCCCGCTGTGGGGCCCATCGAGCCTCCGATCCAATAGCTACGGCGGTAGAACGACCGTGACACGAAGTTGACCATTCATTTCTATCCAGTGCGCGAATAATGAAACTATACCTCCACTCCACCGTACATCTTAAAGTCGCAGTGTTAATTAATTAACAAAAATAAAGTAAAGGTATCCCTGTAACAGGCCGTGGAAGCCCATAGATTTGTGAGACGTCGAGGCTCCCACATTTTCTCTAGACAATCGGCTCACAGATGGCGGTAAGATTGTCAGCCTTACGTGCCGGTCGCCTTCTAACCCCAGGAAGATTCCTGGTACTCATTTCTGTTAAAGGCCGAGTCAACCCCAGGGTCATTGTTCGTCTGGAAGGATTAGGTAAATTGAAAAAAAAATATCCATCTCATCGGGATTTGATCCCGCGACCTCCCGGCTTGTAGCAAAGTGACTCAACCAACTACGCTATCGCGTGCCCCAGTGTTAATTAATTAGGTAGGGATATTACTTCGCTGTTACCATATTTGAGTCGGTGAAATGACACTTTCAGGCCGAGACAGAACATTCTATCCGTCAATAACTTATTAACACGCCCAGCTTGTTTACACAGACTTTTGGGCCATAAATCTTGCAGGCTACAGAATCAACACTTAGTCTCAGCCAGCCCACCCACCGCGCTATAGCCACGCATGAAAACATCGTTCATTACTGTCACGCTTTCTATACTCGAGCTCAGAGCAAATATTATTCAGGTCCTACACTTCACACTTCTATTGTCTCGCGCAGACAGACAGACGTATGTCTGAGGTTCTCACAACGGTGACTTCTGGGATATGACGCCGTGTAATTTGCTAGATGGATGCCTAAATACATTAACCTTAAAGGTAAAGCTATCCTTGTAACAGACAGTGAAGGCCGTAGGTTTGTGAGACGTCGAGGCTCCCACATTTTATCTAGACAATCGGCTCATAGATAGCGGTGAGGTTGTCAACCTTGCGCACCGGCCGCCCTTTACCCCCAGGATGATTCCTGGTACTCATTTCTGTTAGAGGCTGAGTCGACTCCAGGGCCATGGTGCGGCTGGAAGGATTAGGTCAATTGAAAAAAAAAATCCACGCTTCCGCGTGCCCCCTTCTGATGCAGAATTTCTGTGTGATATTTAAGGTTCTCACGGATTAAATTTTGTGGGATTTGACTCCGTACAGTTTGTGATTGTCGAAGTACTACACGATTGCAGACGACTTCCTGATATTTTCAGTAAGGACTCATGATTCTAAGAGTCTCTCAGCTGGGCAAGAAGTTCCGTCCTTCCTTTCATCATGTATTCGCAAGAGTCCGCCATATTTTTCCCTTTACATTTATTATACATAATCTGCAGAGTCTGCAATAAATGTACATGTTCAATAAGTACTGGCTCGGGAATGAGTTTGTAACCGTACGCACGCTTCACGGAAGTATCTTATCTGTTTATGCTTGGCGATTGGGTTTGGCTGTGGAAGTGAGATGCCCCGGAGGGTTCATGGTCCTCTGAACTGGCCTTTTGTTGCGAGGGACTGAAGGGAGGTTGGTGAGTCCATTGTATTCAAGGGGAAGTAGGTATACCTCCTTTCGTCCGTGCCTGTGGGGGTGGAGGACCTGTGGCTCGAAGCTTCGAGAAACTTCTAGGTGTGCAGACCGGAAGTGGTCCATGCATTTGGTCATGAAGCCCTCCCGGTGGAAAGTTCGAGATGGCTAAGAACGTGGTTTCTGGAAGCAGCTGCGGGGGCAAGCCGAGGGAGTCAGTGAGTGGAAGCCGAGGGAGTTAGTGAGTAGAAGCCAGGTAGTGAGGGTGCTCCTGTGGAACCTGTGCTAGGGGGTTAACCGATCGAGCCAACACCCGTGTACCCCTGGGATGTAAGACTCATTCCACTGAATTTAGTCGAGGCATACACCGCGTCGAAGTGAAGCGTGTGGGACGGGTGCAAGTTATATCCAGTGACGTAACTCATATACTCTTCTTTTCAAGTAGATATCATTTTAATTCTTGTATTGGGGTTTTACCCAGGCCTGACTAGTAAAATTAGAACTGTGTGTTTTTCTTTAATCTGTGTACAGTTTCGCTGCCGTCTAGTGGGCTCGCCGCTAGATTGTTAGTGTGGATTTCTAATTCTCTTAAGTATCGGATCTAGTCGTCAGAGTTCCTGGCTACAGATCCAGAGATCCCGGGTTCGATTCCTGGCGACACCAGATTTTCTGCAATGTAATGGGTCTGGAACGGGGTCTACTCAGCCTCGTGAGGATAATTGAGAAGCTATTTCAAGGAAATAGCGGCTCCGGTCTAGAAAACCGAAATTAACGGCCGTGGGGGATCGTTGCGCTGACCACGCGACACCCTCTATCCATTAAAGTTGGCACTAACTTCGCTGACAAGCGGCGGTCGCTCGGTCGTTATAGTTCGCTTGCGGACTAAAGTTTTTGTATTTGTCTGATATTCCGCTTTCTTATTTCACTGAGGGCTGTGTTAATTTGGGGATCTTCATATATTTAGTTTTCGTCCGAACAAGTTTTGGAATTTTATAGATGTAAATTTCAACATTTCTTCTTCAGCGAGAGAAAAAAAACATTTCATTCACTTGAAGTGGTCATATAAAATTCTTCTCGGAAAAGCGGGAAGAGAGCTGCCAGTCTGGAAGACAGACACAGATGGGAGGGCCACACTAAAATTCATGAAAACTGAAATCAACTGCGTGAAAATATGGTCCAGTGAAGGGCTTTTGTGAGCACAAGGCTGGATCTCCTCCGTCCATAAAAACACAGAAATTTATTAACCCGGTCACCAACTATCAGCTTCAAAATAGCGACTCCGTCCCAGAGAGTTAGTCTTTTTGACTTCTGCTATAAGAGAGAAATATTTCTTTTTATTTCACTAATCTGTCAGTAATTCTGGTTATATCATCTGATGATTTGATGACAATGAAAATTGGATTTTAAAGAATATAAAAATTAATCATCTTGGCTAAATATCAGGTAGCATTTCCTAACTTGTCACGAAGGACCTCAGTCAATATAGCTGGTATCCCAGCCTGGATTCGAACCGAGCACCTCCCCCGAATACAAATCAAAAGCATTATCGCTTGAGTCAGCTTAATCTTTTTTTTTTAATTCGCTTAGTGGGGGCTGAGTCTATCTGGGTCCACTCAGCACGGCGGCCACTGATTGGCCTATTGCACCTGCCCCAGGTGATTATTATGATGATGGAGAATTTGGTGGAATGAAGATTGGCAGGGGAAGCCGAAGTACTCGGAGAAAAAACCTGCCCAAACGCCACTTTGTCCACCACAAATCTCACTTAACCAGACCCGGGATCGAACCCTGGTCGCCGCGGTGGGAAGCCAGCGACTAACCTCTTCAGCTTTGGTGCGGCCATAGAGTCAGCTTGGCCGGTGTCTAAGAGAAACTTCATTAACCATCTCTTTAATATTATATTGTAAATATAGAAAGGCAAGATTTTAACACTGATGTTTTCCTACTCAGACAGAGAGGCCAGCTGCCGCCTGTTCGCATGAGATCAAGTCGCATCTGCTACAAGACTGACGTCGCTGCAGAGACAATGGGATGAAAAAGCCGAAATTGGTCAAAGGAGCGTGAATCCGGGAAGCAGTTTCTTAGAATTCTCTAATCCCATCAGTCGTTTTGAGAGAGGATTACGGTGAACAAAAGAGAAATATTTCCTTACACCGCAACCAGCCAAGTGCCGTAGCACAGATGATGACCAAAAAAGTAAAAACCCAGGATGTGATACTGTGCTGCCTGGTCATAGATACAGATCCTTTAACGACGCTGTCAGTAACTCAGATTATAGGCGTCACATCATAGCCTGGAGGGACTGGTGAATACCACGAAAACCTCATTTAGGATAGTTGAGTCTCCTTGTACATCTAGAATATGTCTTCAGCGATGTTTCTCGGTAAGACGTTAAGAGAAATACACAAAATTTAGCATCTTACATCACATGAAATACGCACACACACACAAAAATTATACAGTGTGTTGCAATTATGGAGAAACGTAACTGACCTTCTGAAGTCCCGGCTCCAGCAAGCGTATATGACAGGATTCATACTGGAGTTGATCCATCCAAGCCACGTCACTACAGCGGACACCAGTTCCTCGTTCCAGATGCACTGCTGGCAAAACCCTGAGAGTAGGTTCACCACGAAGAACGGAGACCAACACACGATAAACACCCCCATTACGATTCCCAACGTCTTCGCCGCTTTCTTCTCCTTAGCAAATTTTGCAAGTTTCCTACTTAAAGAGAAATTCTTAGACATTGTCTTGCTATTAGTGTTCCCAGATATAATTCTGGTTGATGAAAGTCTTGTCAAACCATTATTCTGGTGATGATGATGTTGATGGTGATGATGGTGATGATGCGGTGGTGATAAAGTGTCAGCAGGATCTAGAATTTCAGCTGGAAGTTCATCAGGCGTCCCTCCACTTCCGGTACTGTACATATGTCTGTCATCCACAACAGTACTTCCACTGTTTGTGGAGCTGGTATTGTTTCCTCCTCTGTGGATCCTGAGTGTGAGTTCCAGTTCGCCTGAAGCCATCATGACTTGCTTTGACCCTAGCTTCAGTGATCTAGTCTGAATCACAGCGGCTCTGTATATTCTGTAGTACGTAAACACCATAACAAATAAGGGCAGATAGAAGGATATAGTTGACGAAAACACCAGGTAGCCCAGATGATCCGTGAAAGGACATTTGAAGGCAGGCACGACTTCTGTGCGTACCGCCCTCCACCAAACTATAGCAGGGAAGGAAATAGCTCCAGAACAAACCCAAACAGCGGCAATAAGTAATGCAGCTCTTTTCACAGTCATTTTTGTAGGATACGTGAAAGGGTCTGTAATTGCCCAGTAACGGTCAAGAGAAATCACACAAAGATTAAGTATAGAAGCTGTACTGAAGAGGACATCTAATGATCTCCATACATCACACCAATCCATACCAAAGAACCATCTGTTTTCTAGGACCTCATACACAGCACTGAAGGGCATTACGACAAGCCCCACTAGGCAATCCGCAACGGCCAATGAAGTTATGAAGTAGTTAGTGGCTGTGTGCAAGTACCTCTCTCTGATGACAGCCAGAATGACAAGCATGTTGCCGAACACAGTGGCCACTGAGAAGAGCAGGAGGAGAGCGGCCAGGGGTGCCCGCTTTTGAAGAAGGTCCCAGGTCACATCACTTTCATTTGATGTGTTAGGATCGAGTGTGAAATTTGTATCAATTTTGATGTTTCCGATCGTGACGACATCGGTGAAAGTCTCTTCTGATGTTGACCAGTTGTGCTGGGTGCCAGCGGCAAAATTCCAATCGATAGAGCCATCTGCCGATGCTTCTTCCTCGTCGAACCAGGCCTCTATCAAGCTTCCGTTCATGGTAGAGCTTAGTTGACAAACATTACATACGATTGTGGTTACAGTCTTTTGTCGAGTGCAGTTCCGTACTGTTCTATAGAGTAATTTGTGAACTTACATTCGTAACTCTATTTGAATTGAAGTGTCATAGGATGAATAGAGTCTCTGGAATTCGATTCTGTATCTTGTCTACTGGCTCAGCAAATTTATCTTGCATTTCAGTCAATATTAGCGGCTTTAATACAATTTCGTGCTTCTATTAAAAGGATATTAGAAAATAAACTTTGTCAGATATTACTTACTTATCAGTTTAAATATCACATTTGTAATAAAAAATCAAAATATCCAATTAAACTTTTTTATATACTCCCAAAACACGCCCCAAAAATTCACTATATTTCACGATCGACAATTTCTGTAGTCTTTCTTCTCTGCTTGTAATTTTCTCTTGAAAATATTTATGATTTAATTTATTTACTATATTTCCCATTAAACCACATCACTCTTAAAAATGTTGCTTTCACCATTCTCAAAATAAATCATCTGTAATTACCTCAGTCCAAAATATTCTTCGGTCATCAAAATACTTAATACCACAGTGTCCATAAAAATTCTACTAATTCCAGATATAACACAAATAGTTCATCTTAATAATATCCATCATCGTGTTAATTCTAATGTTCGCTTCCTTCTTAACAAAAATTTTTTCAGCAATTTCTAAAACTAAACCACTTACACGACAAAATTTTCTTCTATGAAAATGATAATTATAATTTCGTATGCGAAGTACAAACACTAAATCACCAAAACGATTAATAATTTTCATGAAGAGACATGTTCATTCTTCAGTTTAAAACAACAACACTTTAAACATTTCCACCATAATAACGCTTTTCATTTGGAATAACAATAAAATTGTCAACTTGCGAGCGACCTCTACATTCACTGCCCAAACACTGCGCTTGAATGGGTGTAGTTAATGAAGAGGGGATGGTTCAACCACTACAGCTCAACGGGACCAATACGTCGGCCCAACAAGAACAACACAACAGTACACACAATTCGAAATAATATCTGAAAGTTGACAGTTCACTGCGATATATGTAGAAACCCTTACAGGGGATATATTGGCTTCCGAAACCGTGTTTGAACTTCATGTATCGGATCTTGAATGAAGTGATGTTGATCTTGTAGTCTGCATTGGAAGTACGTGGTCTGAAGGTTAATATGTATGTATGTGTGTGTATTGTAAAGAAATGTAACCATTCGTACCAATTTGTATGACAATGATGTATGTCTGACACGCAACACTTTTCATAGTTTGGCACCAAGAACACATCACTGAGTCAAGGACAAGTTAGTCTGTATCGCACGCGAACCCACCTTACGGTGTTAACGATATTCTGTTCCGAATTGTCGAAGAGCTTTCTGAAGGTGTCTTATTTTATCTCATCTTACTCACATATCGTATGGGATACGTGGAATCGTTATAAGTTAATAAAAATCTGGTATTTAATAATTAGACTGAAAATAATTCAGAACCAAAATACAAATAACACATTATTTAACTATTTTTATGTAGATATTCTCGTAATTACATAAACGACAACGATTTCATATAATTGTATTATTATATATGTATTAAATAATTAAAAATGTTAAATAACATCAATAAATTTAAATGATATTCATTACAAGAGGTCACACGTTTTAAATATATAAAATTCTGTTTTATTTCTAACAAAAGTCTAATATTTTCTCTCTAAAGCTTTCGCAAATAAAATAATTATAAAGAGAGTGTCCAAACGAGTCTAAACAGAACCGAGTAACGTCACTTTATCCTTATTTATATGGCCATATTACATCAGTCAGACGAAGTTTTGTTGAAGTAACGACTTCACGCGTACGAGTCACGATAATTCAAGGTCGAGCGGCGCAGCTATGTGCTACAAGTGTAACGCAGGCCAGTAGCCTACAGACTGAGGCGTCCTAACTACCCCGAGAAGAGAGTCGGGCCCTCGCGCCGTCGCGCACTGCGGCTGGGAACTCCCTTCTCCTCCGCATGACACAGCCCGGCGTCAGCATCTTCATGATGTTTTGGAAACAACATCATCAACAACAATTCAATAAATAGTAACTCTTGTTCCAAAATGGTGTTGGGAACAAAATAAGAACGTCAACACCAATGAAGCACACATTTTCCAGAAGTGTTTTTTGATGTTCTGCACCCCGCACTACTTCTCACATTCACCGTTAGAAGTCAACAGTAACTTGCAAGATTGTCTACACGTAAAGCTCTGTACTGCCTGAGATTTTTCACGGTTTTCCTTAGTCCCTCGGTCAGCCCACGATCTCTCCATTCCAAATCCTTTACAATTTATCGTCATTTACGTAGCACCCTACAATCTGGCTTTATATAGTCGTGATCCTGAAAGGGCCTTTAAAGAAGACACAAAAAAAAAGCTTTAAAGCAAGGTGGTTAGTATATGTACCACTTGTTTGAACATTAAAAAGAACTCTGCCTTCTGCCCACACAGTGTATCTGTGTTTTCCGTATGATTCTCACAGTAAACAGCGACTGTTTCCCTAAACAGCATTAACCGGTTGGGCTTTGTAACGGAGACGTAACGTGTTTCCTGTGAGGTACGGACTGAATTGCTATATATTCTGCCCACACAGTGTATCTGTATGTTCCTTATGGTTCTCACAGTAAACAGCGACTGTTTCTCTAAACAGCATTAACTGGTTTGTCGTTGTTATGGAGGAGCGGTGTTTTCTGTGAGGTACGAACTCAGTTATTAAATATTATTGGGACTACCTTCAGCCTTCAAAACCAAGTATCTCAGTGTATAACTGGGCCACCCTCTTCCTGCGGGATATAAACACGGGGACCTGGTCCGCCAGGTTGGGGAAGTCTCGAACCTGAGACAGTAAAATATGGTCATGAGTCCCGAGGGACTCGGGCCCGAGAATGATTGCGCTGGCTAGGACCAACAGCAATTATAAACGACAAACCCGTCTTCTCGTCAGAGAGGGTGCCCCACAACAACAAACCCGCAACTGTCTAATACAAATCTGGTCTTGGGCCCCAGATGGGGGCTTGACACCAAGACAGACTGGCCGACTGACCGTCTGTCGTATCGTAAGGTTCACTCTACTGTACCGGCCCCAGATGATAGATGATGGTGATTGTAGAGCAATTGATGGAATGAAGTTTGGCAGGAGAAACCGAAGTTCTTGGAGAAAAACTACCCTAGGCCCACTTTGGCCACCACAAATCCCACATAACCTGAGCTATGGCGCGGCCTTTCATGCTTCTAAGAGTTAACTAATTTTAACATTTACTTGGATATTTTAACTTAAATTTTCCACTTCGAAAGGGTACGTTTCCTCTTCGTCAGCTTTGCACAAACTTTGGCCTTCTACTCTTAGCTTCAAGAGCGCCCCAACTGTGCATTACATTCACATTATCATGGTCTTCGTGTCCAGGCACCATAATATTAGAGACTAATTAAAATGTGGAGGTAAATCTCCATGCATTCACCTAAGCACTGAACATACGTGTAAGGGTCAGTATTCACCATCCATCCGCTTCCATCCCGATTATCCTGATTTACATTTCCACCCTGATGATTGGAGCAACTGTTAGCTTTGAGATGCTAATAGCTACCAGACTACACGACATCACAGTGAACGGTTGGGCATAATGGTAACGCTTCTGATTCATATGATGGAGGAATTAATTTAGAATCTCCGACGGGACACAGGTATTCCTCGCTGGTATTTCGTGGGTTTCTTCCGTCACTCCAAGAAATTTCTCGATATTTCATCGATTATACCACGACCGCTTCCTTACAAATCCTTTCCAAATCATTACAAACGTGCTATCTACTATTTCACTTTATAATACGGCTACTAAAATAACCCATACCCATATAAACGGTGTCACATCCCAGAAGGTACCAGACTTCATAACATTGCATCTATCACAGTACACCACATTTCTGAGCAGATGCGCTGAGAACCGGGTTAGCTCAGTCGGTACAGCAACTAGGCTACGGGCTGGACGACCACAGATTCGAGGTTCTATTCTCGGCTGGGGCAAAACATTTTCTTTCCTCCACAGTATCCAACCCGGTTCTCCGACCTATCCAGCCTCCTACACAATGGATATCGGGAGGCTGTTCCCCCGAAGTTAAAGTGGGCTGGAACGAGAAGCTCACCAATCACCGAAGTGAGAACCAATACCTCCACTCTCCCATAAGTCTTCATAGCATGGTACTTAATTAATTAACAACTTTAACTTCGTTGGATTTGAGGTTCTTACGGCTGCTGTAACGCCTCGTAGTCCTGAGGAACATGTGGTTTCCATCTTCAGGGTCACAGAGGAAGCTGCCTGTTTCTGTAGATTTCGTGCCTGGCTTGCTCTTCGGCGCTAAAGACGGAAAGGGGAACTTTGAGCTCTCTCCCCAGGAGCCCTCAGTCTGCAATTATTCCCTTACCTTTTACCCGGATGCCATCAGCAGTTGATGCCCCTAGAAGCCTGCTATGTCACTTACGTGTCAGTTGATACATTTCTGTCACCTGACTGATGTGTAGAATTTGCTCAGTGTGGCACGTCCATTTGTGCATCTGTTACCTCTCTGATTAGATCCCTGAAACTTGTATTCCAAGTTCAACACAGGACGTCAGTTTACAGCTTAACTGTCTCCATCTCTCAAGCTCCAACTTGAGTCATGACACCGTAAGCACATTTGGCCTTATCGGTCAGACTAGTTCCTGACTAATGAATATTGACTGATATTCCTCCGGGGATATGCACTATAGCAGAATGTTATCTGACCACACGCCTTACATACCGAGGGCAAAAACGCGTGGAGTTATCGTCCACGCCCCCTCCTCCCATGGTCTCTAGGCACAGGAATAACTTCTTAGTCTCGTATCACTACATCAGTGTTAAAACAGTTTAAGATTTCCAGAGAAGGTTGTGCTCACAATCTACTAAAATAAGGGGGTCTGTGTAAGTGTTCTAGTGGTCAGAGTTCCTGGCTACAGATCCAGAGGTCCCGGGTTCGATTCCCGGCGCTACCAGATTTTCTGAGAAGTAGTGGGTCTGGAACGGGGTCCACTCAGCCTCGTGAGGATAACTGAGGAGCTATTACAAGCAAATAGCGGCTCCGGTCTAGAAAACAGAGATTGACGGCCGTGGCGAACCGTTGCGCTAACCACGTGACACCCCTCTATTCGCAAAAGTTGGCACTAACTTCGCCGACAAGCAGCGGTCGCTCGGTCGGTATAGTTTGCTTGCGGACTAAACCCACGGAGTTTTTTGTGTAATCAACATATAAAGATTCTACCGTTAACGCAACAATTGTTTATTAACATATGTACCACTACATGTTTCGACCCAAACGGGTCATCCTCAGGTGCTGCAAGTCTCAGACACTGAACCACTGAACTGCAACTCTCGCATTCTCTTTATATACACGTACATATGGTTCACGAAAGGTAACTTTCTTTATATATTCAGTTCATCAACAAGACTATACCAGCCTAGACATTGATTCAAACAAGAATCATACATGCGATAAAACAGTAAGAATAACAATTAGGTAAAAATTAAATTTAACAATTGATTTTTAAAAACATTGTGAGCTGTGACGAGCTTCATGTCTGTTGTTGCAGTAGACCACGCACAGCCTTCATCAGATTCTTCTCTTATTTGCTGTGTTCTCACCGCCATCTGTGAGCCGATTGTCAAGGTAATGTGGAACCCTCAACGTCTCACAACCCTATGGGCCTTCACGGCCTGGTACAGGGTTAGCTTTACTTTACTTTTATTAGAATATACAAAACTAGCATTTTGCCTGTGGTCCTGTATTGGTGTGAAACTTAGTCTCTGACATTAAGGGAGGAACACTGACTGAGAACAGTGTGTTGAGAAGAATATTTGAACCGAAGAGGGATGAAGTGAGAGGAGGTAGGAGAAAACTGCATAATGAGGAGCTTCATAACTTATACTCTTCTCCAAATATAATTAGAATGATCATGTCTAGGAGGATGAGATGGGCAGGGCATGTAGCGCGAATGGGGAAGAGTAATGTATGTAGGATATTGTTGGGAAAGCCAAAAGGAAATTGACCACTGGGAAGACTAAGGCGTAGGTGGGTGGACAATATTAAAATGGATCTTAGAGAGATAGGATGGGATGGGATGGATTGGATTCATCTGGCTTACGATAGGAACCAGTAGAGGGCTCTTGAGAACACGGTAATGAACCTTCGGGTTCCATAAAATGCTGGGAAATTCTTAAGTAGCTGCAGATTTGGCTCTCCTCAAGAAGGGCTCAGCTCCGTAAGTAAGTAAACCGCTGTGTTGCTGTCAATATGTTAACGTTTCCTAGAGAATGAACCCCTCCCCTTCCATATTGTCGGATGCCAATTTACGGTTAATGTTGTGTAGTCTA